TGAAGCAGGGAACTGCTAAGGCAGCAGCACCCGGTGCAACCATCACAAAACAAGAGACCCGAGAACTAGAAAGGCGAGGTTCACCACCCATTTATCCCTCCGCCTTTCAATTAGCCCCACATGTGATTATTGGCCAGGCTGGCACAATTAACTAACTCATGGCTCTTCCAGACAAAGTCTCTAACTCCACTCAAATGAGTTTTCCTGCAAGGATCTGGTAAGAAGGTGGGGGAAGAAGATATGGATAGGATTCCTTGGAATGCCATCCTGCTACATACAAATTCCACCCAGCTCATCCTGATGAGAAGCAGGAGGATGGGGGTTCCCAATACCAGCTAAGAGGCAGGAGTTCAGTGCATCCTCTACAACTGAGATCCCTGAGCAGTGAACCTCCTGGATCTAGAACACAGCTATGGCATCAGAGGAGCAGCAGCAGAGCCAGGAGCCAGCACAAGGAATAGAGTGATGGACTTCCCAGTCCACGAAACAAGTAAAGCTGAGTGCTTTTGGCTAGGAGGCTGGTTTGTGGAGTGGGGTGCCTCTGAGCACTTATAGGGGGATCTGGGTTGCTGACCTACAGAGCCTGAGCTGAACGTCTTTGGGTTGAGGCTTAGAGCAGAGTGGTATGCTCCTTTGGGCATTTATTAACGGACATGAAAAAAATTAGTGATATGTCTGATAAACAACTGTATCCTCGTGCTCGCTTCGGCAGCACATATACTAAACAACTGTATCCTCAGCATTTCTCACTGGCATTACAACCTGTTAACTTGCATAATAAACCCTTTAATCATGAATGTGTCTGTGAGTTCTGTGTAGCCATCGAAATGGATATTAGAGCCTAGATATAAAGTAGAAAATGGCTACTTAAATTAACACACCTTTACCGCTCAAAAAACAACTCTTGAATGCAGAATTCAATCAAGTCAAGAAAGGTAGAGAATACCTATTAAGACAACACACCAGCTACTATGACCACTCAGGTCAGAATATATGGACCCTGGTCAAATGGGAGAAAAATGTGGACCAGAACCTCAAACTCCTAAAAGAAAGAAAAAAGAACAATGGGATGAGTAGAGACTGATGACTCCTCAAGGCTATTGACAAGATATTCTTCAAACCTAACCTGAGGTCACCTTGTAGTTAATAAACAAATTGGCTCACAAATTAATGACACCATAAATTTTGTGTTCCTTTAAAACAAATCACCTATCTGAGACTAAACAGGTAACAATTACCTTAACAATTATGTAAGGGACCAGGGAAACTGGAAAAGATAGGGAATGACCAATGATAATGCCCATGTATTGTAAAGAATAGCAAATTACACTAAAATAAGTGTGCAGAAATTGGTGAATTGTTGAATGGGAAACTAAACTGCTGTATAAACATTCACTCTAACTACAATAAAATATTCCTTATTAAAAATATACTATTATTAAAAACATAGATGATCAGGCCTTTTTCAGCAAAAATGGTGGGGCCTAAAGCTCTGTATTTGTACAAACTCCAAGTACATGAAAATCTGAGAGCCCAATGCTGCAAGGATCTTATATAAATGGTATCTGGCATATCTACTAAGTCCTGTTATAAAGGACGAGCAGGATGAAATTCATTTTCTTTGTCTTCGCTCAGCCCCCAACAAAAGCCATGTTATGAAACATTCTTCATGTTATGAAGAATATTATAAACCACACTTGTACTTTATAAAAGGTCCAAATATTTTTTACCATACATTTCCAATTCACTTTGCTCACAGTAAAAATAAAAGAGTAAAGTTAAGTAACTTTGTTAGTCTGTCAAACTTGGTGGCCATTGTATCTCCTTCACATTAGCTTTAATATGGGTGACTTATTTCGTATCTTATCTATTCTGAACAGATATTGGAAAACAAAGATATGTTGGCAGCATGAATTCTAAAACAATCACGCTGAACATTTTCCTGAAATAAAAAAACCAACAGCACCTATGGTACATCTGATAAAAGATTAATTCTGTCCTCAAAAGTACAGTATGCTTTAGCATATTAAGACTAAAGATGCCATTGATAAATTAAAGATGGGCTCTCTGACAGACAACTTTCCAAAGGCATTTGAGGACTTTTCTCCTGTGGAACTGCTTGGGGTTTGCTTTCAACTGCCAAGCGCAGAGGGCGACCAGGGCTCCTGGTGGGCCTGGAGCTCTGCATCTACTTTATTTGAGACACTTCCCATGAGATCCTGAGAGGCAGTCTAAGTTCTGTGCACGTTCCAAGGGCTGGCACTCA